CCTGAATTAAGGCATAGACGTGAACATGGGTTACCAGGCTCTAAGGATATTTAGAAGGACTTGGTGACTAAGTGCAATAGGGGTGAGCAGGAGGAAGGGCTTAAAGCCATCTCTCAGGCTTCTAGATTAAGCAAATGGGGGCGAGGTAAGTGCCGAAAAGGAATCCAGGAGATAATTTAAATTTGAAGAAGACAGTGAATTTGGTTCGGCATACTGGCTCAGCATTTGTGATGGGGGGATATCAGTAGAGACACTCACTGGGCAGTTGGAGTCATAAGAGACTGGGGCCTTTAAGGAGCATTATAGACATAAGGGAGCTCACCCACACAAAGTCATGAGAGGCTGGGGCCTTTATTTGTATTATAGATGTAAGGGAGATCACCCATGGAGCGTATGAAGCTAGTGAAAAGAATTGGGCTGAGGGAAGAATTCTGGGCAGCTCTAGTATCCAAGGATGGGCAGAGGGAGGCGATTCACAGGGTGCAGGGAGCTGAGAAGTAAGGAAAAGAGTCAGGAGTGAGCAGGTGACTTGAAGTGGCCAACAGTGCCACACATTATAGAGAGGTCAAATCATGGAAGGACGGAAAAGTGGCCATTGGATTAGCTAATTTGAAGTCCATCACTGGCCTTTGCCAGAGCTGAGTCAACAAAGAGATGGCAGCTGCTGCCATGTTGGTGTGGGCTGAGAATGGGTGGAGAGAAAATGAATGCAAGTTGTTTTTTTCCATAAATGGTATTCAAGAGGTAGATGGTACTAGGAAAGCAGATAAGGTGAGAGCAGGATTACATTTTGGGTTGTTTTAGTTTTAGGCCGGGTATGCTATAAGCCTGTTCATCTGCAAAGGGAGAGGCTTGATTAATGAAGGTGAGATCTTGAATTCTCTGTGGAAGATACTGATGAAGGAAAGAGTTAGAACCCAAGGCTAATTCATTGCTCACTTGGGGTTTCCTGCAGGAAGAGCAGGTTGGCTCTGTGAGACTGATTCCACAGCATAGGGGAGCATGACTCAGAAGACACAGGGAGGAAATGGTTGCCTGCCTAGATGGTAAAGTCCACATGGTCAATCCTTGTCATCCGTAGAGTGACAGATGGGGCAGCCAGCTTGTTCTATCTTCTGTAACCTCATTACTCAGCAAGCTAGAGTTAGCTATATTTTAGTCGTGCTTGCTGTTTTTTTTTTTTCTTTAAGATTTACCTTTTTAATCCTTTCTAAGTCTCCCTAGTTGTAATTCTTCTCTTTCTTCACTTAACCCTTCATCTGTGCTCTTGCCTAGTCTGTGAAAATTTTCTTGGACTCAGTTTTAATCCCAGTCTCCTCTTGGGCTCTGCATTCCCTTTGAATCACTTCCTGGGTATTTGCATAGCATATGCATCCTGATAACTCCCAAATTATGTTTCTATCTCAGACCTTTATTCCAGGTTGTGGATTCATATGTCCTACAACCTAATTGTTGTCTCCATTTACGCAATGCACAGATATCTGGAAATTACCATAGTACAATGGAACTCTTGATTTTTTTTCCTACAAACTGATCTGTACCCACTCTCAAATTTCCCCGTCTCAGTAAATTCTGTCCTTCAGCCTCAACTTACAAGCTTACTCAGTTCTACCTCAATTCCTCACATATCCCACCGTCTTCCCCAAGTTTGCATTCTCTTTTCCAGAACCACTTTCAACCCTCCACCTACCACCATTCCACAGATGACTGTCACCATCTGATCCTGAAGCATGCTTCAGTCTTCAGTTTGAACACCATTTCCAGAGAGGCCTCCTCTTCCCACTCCACCTAAAATAGATCTCCCTTTCCTAGTCCTACCTCATTCCCCGTTTGCTTCCTTCTCTGCATCAATTACAACCTTTACATATTTTATTTATCCGTCTGTTTGTATCTACCCCTTCACTGAAATGTAAGCACTTTGAGAACTAGCTCATCATCACATCCTCCTAGATCCTAACTGCAGTGCACTCAGTAAGCATTTGTTGGCTGAATTCTCATCCTTGTCAGCCTGGAGGAGGGAAGGCTTCTCAGAATAGGTGATGTTTGAGCTGTGCCTCTTCCAGGGACTGTCCTTCTTACACTTTGTTCAGACCTCTTTTATAGCAATTCATCATAACACAGTGTGCAAAGTGTTTTCTTGTCTGTCTGTTCATTATCCCGATATCTCTCTGAGGATCAAGGCTACATTAATTTCTTTGTGCCTCACCTTATTACAATTATCACAATGAATGTTAGTGTAATTGAATTGCCTGTTTTGCAAAAGAGATATGCAAGTGCATAGAGACGACAGAAGGGAACAAGTGTAGGAGGCAACAGAGCCAAGGTTGAGGAAACATGTCCTTTTGCTTGATGGGACATGGTCATCTTAGTAAGAGTCTGGTGGTCAATTGAACGTCCCCATTCCTGCCTACCAGTCAATAATTACTCTTTGCTAAGGGTTAATAGGGGTCAAGGAGGTTACAAGAATAATCGGCTGGGCAGCAGCTCGCTTTGTGGAGCCAGAAATGTATTTGTCACAGTCAATCATGTCCCCATGCTGCTGTCTAGGAAAATTACAAACTCCTATATCTGCAGTTCTTTTAAAATGCAATGAAGTTTCCTAAGTGGAGGAGTGTTTGAGCTCATCCTCTGTCTTTCCCAGGATTCCTGCCTCCTCTTAGAATCACGTCTATTTCCTTTCCTTGCTCTTTGTGAAGGAAAACAAGGAGAAGCAAGGGTAATTTGATATTCAGATACAAAGAAGGGATTTCTTAAGTCAAAGCTGATTTTTCAATTACATTAGTGAAAAACATCCAGGGCTTGAAAACTGATTTAGAAAAAGAAAAGTTACCAGAAGCAGACAACATTGTTAGGTTCATCTTTTTGCTTTTTTTTTCTTTTTTCTTTCTTTCTTTCTTTCTTTTTTTTTTTTTTTCAGACAGAGTCTCCCTCTGTCACCAGGCTGGAGTGCAGTGGCATCATCTCGCTCACTGCAACCTCCCCTTCCTGAGTTCAAGTGATTCTCCTGCCTCAGCCTCCCAAGTAGCTGGGACTACAGGCACGCATCACCATGCCCAGCCAATTTTTTTGTATTTTTAGTAGAGATGGTGTTTCACCATGTTGGGCAGGATGGTCTCAATTTCTTGACCTTGTGATTTGCCCGCCTCGGCCTCCCAAAGTGCTGGGATTACAGGCCTGAGCCGCCATGTCTTGCCGATCTTTTAACTATTAAAGAGACACTTAGTATATTTAATCAGTCTCAATGGAGTTTCCTTACTCTGGTTTTCTATGGATCTAGAAATAATACCTTGTAGTTGATATGTGTGTTTTCCAGCATCCTAAATAAAAATGTTAGATATTCTTGTATTTCCTGAAATGGAGTTCTTTTCTGGAGTTTTCTGGTGACTGGACATGTTGGGGGATATTTATTGCATCCTGGTGGGATAAGGGAAAAAAACCATGGCTGGCATCTTCTTTCTTGACTCTGTGAGTCTTCACAGTGTGAGTCCTGTGATTGGATGGAAGACCAGTTTATAAAATCCCCTTCCTGAGCCTTATGGGAAGGTCTTCAGCTGAAGCTGTCCTCATCATCTTGATGGAAAATGCTAGAATCCACCTAGATTCAGAGCTAGGGCACGCAAACTGCTGTTTCTGAAGTGAAAGTAGAGTCAAAGCTGAGATGCTGGGTTTTCTGGTCTGCTCTGATAGGGAAGCCATTGTTAGTTGAGAGAACCAAGCATATACAGATTTTATTTATACTTTATTTGCTTTTTCTCTCCCTCTGAAGACTCTCAATGGGGTTCAAGGCAAGTAAACTCCAGATCTCAACACAAAATTCACATTTGATTGTCCAGTGGTCAGACAGACCAGAACAATTTGCCCAGCAGGGGGCACTGTTGAGCCACAGCTCTGAACCATAGTAATTTTCCTGCTGCTTTGAAGCAAGAGCAAGAGGGCAAATTACTTCTTTCCCAGGCCCCGCACCAGCTGTTGTCTTGATTTCCAAGAAGGGAAGCCCAACCACTTTGTTCATATTCCAAGTGACCTCGAGTAACAACGGGGGACCAGCTCTCTGGAGGCCAAGGCTACACCTGGGACAACTGGCCGAGGTTGAAAACGAGTTGACAGCAGTTGCCATTCACCCCCAAATCCTGGGTCCTTGTCCTCATCCTTGTCTTTGTCCTCTTGGATTCCCCTGGGAGTCATCAGCGGGGGTTGGAACGAGATTTGCCGGTTCCGGAACTTGGGTATGTTCAGCCTGGTTTTGTCTGGGTTATTGAAAAATGTTTTAAGGTGGATGGGGCAATCCTGGGCTGGAAGGGAGGCCTTTAAAGCAGGAAGTCTAGACACTCAAGGGATTGAAAAAACATTTGGAAAGGGTTGGAAAGGCTCCAAAATCAACAACACAAGAATGGAGGCATGAAAACAGGTATTCGTCTTTTCAAAATGACTTACCAGCCACCCCCAAAGTCTAGCTTCCAACCCGAAGGGAAGCAAGCAACAAAATTAAAATAGGAGTGAAAATGATGTGTTTTTGTTAAAGGGCACACTGCCTTAAGAGGCGCCCGTGGAGAAGCAGGGACTGATCCTTGTGTCTGTGTCCATATGTTTATTTAGAGGGGACTTTCCCTCCTTGCCTTTGAGCTAAGTTCCTGAGGCAAGCCAGCAAGAGGAAGATGTTCCCTTGTTTTCTGGGAGCAGGAATATCAGGATTCTGTGTAGCTGAGGTGGCTGTGATGGAGCAGGGACTGGTCCATGCATCCATATGTTTGCTTAAAGAGGACTTTCCCGGCTGGGCATGGTGGCTCACGCCTGTAATCCCTGCACTTTGGGAGGCTGAGGCTGGCGGATCACAAGGTCAGGTATTCAAGACCAGCCTGGCCAACAGTGAAACCTTGTCTCTACTAAAAATACAAATATTAGCTGGGCATGGTGGTGTACAACTGTAGTCCTAGCTACTTGGGAGGCTGAGGCATGAGAATCACTTGGACCTGGGAGAGCAGAGGTTGCAGTGAGCTGAAATTGCGCCACTGCATTCCATCCTGGGTCACAGGATGAGAGTCCATCTCAAAAAAGAAAAAAAAAAAGAGGACTTTCCCCCTTTGCCTTTGAGCTAAGCTGCTGAGCCAAGCCAGGAAGACAAAGATGTTCCCTTATTTTTAGGGAGCAGGAAAATCAGGATTCTGTTCAGCTGTGGCTCTAGTGTCTAGCTAGGGGGCATTTTAAATTAACCCATGAGTTCTCATGTCATAAGATCACAGGGTATTTGTTGAATAAATAAATGCATGCAACTGAAGAGCTCAATGGATAAGTTCTGTACTTCAAGAATTTCTGGTTTCTCCATCAAGACAATCTTAGATTATTTGGGCATAAATAATCTAAGGCCTGGGAAGCAGGCCCTGCTTTATGGATATGTGACTTAGACAGGCCATGGTTTAAGGCTCTGCTGTTATTTTGAAATTTTTAATTTGAACAAGGGGATTTCAAGATTTCATTTTGCTCGAATTATGTGCAGACCCACACATTATGTAGCCAGTCCTACAGGGAAGCCACATGTGTGCAGGCTTGTATGAAATCCTCTTACTGGTGACAGTGAACATGGTAAAGATGACAGATGACCTTGAGACAGTCTGCCTTCTGGCAGTGCACTAGAATATTCTCATAAGTCGATATTTTCATAAAACAGCTTCTGAGCCAGTGTTGCACAGCAGTTAAGAGGGTGTGTTTTATACGCAGAAAGACCTAGGCAAATATTCCTGTTCCACCACTCATTAGCTGTGTGACTTCGGGGAATTTACTCAGTTTCTTTATCTGTTAAATAAGGACAATATCACCCACCTGATAGGGCTTTAGAAAGGATGAAAGCAGGATGTATGTGAAGCGCTTGGCATAGTGCCTGGGACATAGAAGACACTGTAATGGTGACTGTCATTGTTCTTCTTGGAATAGCATTACTGTGTTACTTTTAGTCTGTTGAACTTAGAAGGGGTTATCCCTCAGTCTCTTGAGTTTGCAAATTAGGCTGCTAACACTTGGTGCATACCCACAGGTATGTTTGCTAATTCTTTCCCGTAGAGCCACAGGTGATAAGATTAGAAAGTAGGCCCTGGGCTTCTTTGATCAAGTGAGTGCTGTGTTTGCACTAACGAAGGGCTGTTTGAAGATTTTTCTCTTAGGTGCTTTTAATCCATAACTGTTTTTACTGACAACGCTTCTGACTCCAAATGCATGGTGTCTTTCCCGACACCAGGAGTGTCCTACAAGTCAGTTCAATTCTGATGTTATCCATGTGGACTATGGCTATCCCATAGGTCCAGGGCTCCGTCCCACAAGGCTGCCTTCACTTCAGGTGTCAGTCACAAGTCCCAGATTGTCACTCGTACTCCTGACTGACAGGCTGTAAATTCAGGGGATTTCCACAACACCCTCCTCAAGTTCAGTAATTCCCTAGAACAGCTTACAGAACACAGGGAAACATTTTACTGATATTTACCGGTTTATTATAAAGGATGCAATTCAGAAACAGCTAAGTGAAAGAGATGCCATAGGCAAGGTATCGGGGAAGGGCTCGGAGCTTCTGTGCCTCTATAGGTGGGTCACCCTCCCAGTACCTCGATGTGCTCACCAACCCGAAGTTTCTCAGACTGCATTGTTTAGGGGTTTTTATGGAGGGATCATTACGTAGGTATGATTGATTAAATCATTGGCCATTGGTGACTAATGCGACCTGTGGGTGGCACTGAAAGTTCTCAGTCTTTCTGGTGAGCAGCCCCCATGCTGAAGCTATCAGCCACTGGTCATCTCATTCACACACAAAAGTCACCCAAAGGTTTTAGCCATGTGCCAGGAACTTGGGACAAAGACCAAATGTTTATTTTTTATTATATCACAACCCTATAATATCAAAGTCACCCCAAGCAAGGAGTACCTGACTTTCCACTCATTCATTCATTCATTCATTCACAAACTTTCTAAAAATATAACTGATTGTTTCAGTTGATGTTGGGTGGGGGACAGGAAGTAAACGAGGTTTCAAGCCTAGGTCAGGCAGCCACCAGGCAGGGGCATCATAAAGGGCCCTGAGCCCTGGAAGGAGGAGGTGGAGGGGGTGGACTGGATGACTGTTGCTTCCTTTAACACTGAGGGCCTACCCCCACCAATATCAACAGTTGGTGCTTTAAGATTTCCAACCCCTTAAAGCATCTTGAAGGTCAAGATGAGTTTGACTGAGAAATATGTGACAGAATGTTGCAATTAGCAGGTGAGTAGGTATGTGGATAAAAGGAATGTATGTGGTATAGAAAAAATGCTCATCTCCCAAATAAAACATTAAAAAAATAGCATGCAGCTAGGACTTGTAAACCAAAATTAAAATTCTGAGCTCCCCAAGCCACTGAATGGACCCCTCCTCTCAATCAAAAGCATTCTAAAGCTAACCTGAAATACTAGTTCAGGCCATGATGGGGATGGGTGGTTGGACAGTCCTCATAGCCTCCTTCCTTTGGAATTCAGGCACAGGTGACCAGCATTAACACAGAGACCTTAAGACTGACAGAAGAGACTCCTTGTAGCAATAAGATATCTACATGATAGATAACAGATCCCGAAAGACATCAAGGTATCTTACCCACAAATATATATTTTAACATTTTGAAATGCCCTGCGAAGGCTGTCTCTTGTGGGGAAAATCTACATGTTGTAGAGAATCCTGTTCCCTTTCCAGGCCTTTTTTTCCTGCTCCAAGAGAGAATTAACTAAGAGTCTGGCACATTTTGAAGTCTGGTAAGAAACACTTATAGTCTATTCTCTCTGAAGCCTGCTACCTGTAGACTTAATCTGCAAAATAAGAATCTTGGTCCCCACAATCCCTTATCTTAACCCAGATACTCCCTTCTATTGACTCCAGGTCTTTAAACAAACTCTTTCAGCCAATTATCAACCCAGACACTCCGTTCTGTTGATTCCAGGTTTTTAAATAAACTCTTTCAACCAATCACCAATCGGAAAATCCTTGAATCTACCTATCACACCTCCGTGCTTCCAGTTGTCCTGTCTTTTGGAACCAAACCAATGTGCAGCTTACATGTATTGATTGATGTTTTATGTCTCCCCAAAATGTATAAAATGTATAAACAAACCAAGCCATAGCCCGACCCCCTTGGGCACATATTCTCAGGATCTCCTGGGGTTGTGTCACAGGCCATAGTCACTCATATTTGGCTCAGAATAAATCTTTTCAAATATTTTACAGAGTTTGACTCTTTCCACCAGCAAGCACTAAAAGACTTCTATTTGATTATTTTTCAGGAAACAAGTAGTTAGACTTAAAAAAAAAGTTATCTCTCTATAAATTGTCATGGGATCCATTTGTCATGGATATACCTATAGTATGTGTGGTTGGAGCAAGCCATGTTAAGGCACCATTGTGTAAGGGTGGAGAGTTTATCCATAACATATTTATCCATCCTAGATGAAATCTATACTAATTAGACAGAAGCATGATCTTCAAAAGACCCACAATATTTATCTCACTAACCATCAATAAATGTCTTTAGCATTGGTATATTTTATTTCAGTTGCATATACACATGTCAATACATTTTTATAATGGGAGCATAACCTACAGATTTTTGCAACCTGCAATTTTTATTTAGCAATGTGTTGTGAACAGATATTAATAAGTGAATCTATAAACTTGTTTAATGGCTGTATATAGTTTTCATTCTTTTGATATCCTATGACTTTTACAAACTATCTCCTATTGTTGGATATTTGGCTTATTTCTAATTTTTCACTATTATAAACATATTGCATGGTCACCTTATGCTGACCTGTCTCAATATTTCTTAGGGTAGATTGCTAGAAGGGAAATCACTGGGCCAAATGGTGCACATACTCATTATTTTGACACATGCTGCCAATTAGCCAGTGTCTGAAGGGGCAGGAGATTCAACGCAAAAGATCCAATGCAGTTGTCTTTTTGAGTTCCCCTCACCGCTGTGTCTCTTACTTGGAATTGTGGTATCAACTGGCTCTGGGGTTGACTTTGAATTCCTCGTCACATGGCAAAATCTTGAGCCAGGTTTAGACTAAACAAAATCTTCTGTATTTGGTGAATTTTTTTTTCCTAAGTGGGCTCTTTATATTTCCCTAATCTTCTCCAACATCCCACATCAGTCTGTGCTGAAATTGTCATTCCTGAAATATAAATTATAACGCATTCTCTCGTTTTTTTTTATCTGTAATTGTACAGAGCTGAGATTGTATTTCTAAGAGCTTTGCTCTCTTTTACTGAGTACTTTCTCTGAAATGATGGCTCCTGACTTTATTCAGTGCTGGTATCTTCTTTTTGGCCCTGCAAATGGAAAGAGCTGAATATCCCCTCTATTTTGAGTAGGAACAGGCGATCGAATATGCTGTATACAAAGGGAAAAGGCATCCTCTATCCGCAGGCTTCATCATTACCAGGTTTGATTCTCTTGCTCATAACTATCTTGTCTCAAGACCCAGCATTGCCTCCTCCTTCTCCGAGCCCTACCTCCTGCTGTGGTTCTCTTGATTTTGTACCTATGTTCTACATTCTATGGTGGTTCTTCATCTACATAACAAAGTGCAATGGAGAACTGGGGAAATCTTTTAGAGAAATCAAACAGGGAACATCATACAAAATGGCTGAATTATCTGGGTAAGTCAAGCTCAAGATGCTTATAATTAAAGTATTTAAAAATACTTGCTTTAGTTTCCCATGAGCCTTAGGAGGCATTTGCAGGAGGCTAAGTGTTGGTAAAGACCAACTCTTGACTTCCTTAGGGATAAAGGGGGACTAAATTGGGAGGACAGCAGGGAGGGGGCAAGAGGAAGAGGAAAGAATAGAAAGGCCATGTTAAAGGCATCTGTGGGTAGGCCTGCCTTTTCCAGGCTGGTAGGAACAGATTGCAATCTGAACATTTTTATTTTGTGAGTAACTTACAGGCTGATGCAAATAAACTACCTCAAATGAAGTGTCTCCTAGAATCCAGTAATGACCCAGCCATAGGCAGGGAACGCAGGGTTTAGTTAGTATATTGTCCTTCCTTTCCATTCAGGAAGCTGCTGAAACACCCTCTGCTTATTCTCATGTATTTCACAGCACCAGAGCTGAGTCAATGGAGTGGAAACTAAGCTTCTGGCTGCTTAAGGTAAGACTTTGCCTTTAGTCAATGCTCTTAAGTTTAGGTAATTCACATTGCTTCTCTGATGCAGTCGGGCAGTGTTATGACTTGTTATTCCTGGATAAACTGTGGACCCCAATAACCTATTTGAGCAGCCTTTACTTAACCCAGTGTGGTGTTGCTGTAGGCTTAGTGTTCTATGAATGGACCATTTCCTAGTAGTGCTTCAAGTTTGGGCTGCGTTTCCTTGATTAAACTCAGGCCATATATATTTTTTTTCTTTCCAACTTTTATTTTAGGTTCGGGGGTACATGTCCAGGTTTGTTACATGAATAAATTGCGTGACACAGGGGTTTGGCATACAGATTACTTTATCATGCAGTTAATAAGCAAAGTACCTGATACGTAGTTTTGCTTTTATTCACCCTCCTCCCACCCTCCACCCTCAAGTAGGCCCCAGTGTCTGTTGTTCTCTTCTTTGTGTCCATATGTCCTCAATGTTTAGCTCCCTCTTAAGAGTGAGAACATGTGGTGTTTGGTTTTCCGTTCCTGCATAAAGTTGCTTAGGATAATGGCCTCCTGCTGTGTTCCTGTTGCTGCGAAGGACTTGATTTCATTGCTTTTTATGGCTGCATAGTATTCTGCGGTGTATATGTACCACATTTTCTGTATCTACTTCACCATCAGTGGGTGTCTAGGTCAATTCCATGTCAGATCATGTTTTTTTTCTATCCCCTTCAGCAGTGAGAGGAGCCAGCACGTGTGAAAGTTGGAAATGAAAGCCAAGTAGGCTTGTATGTCGCATAAGAGAGAATATGGTTCTCTACTTGTGGTTCTGTGGATGGACTCAGAATGTTCCAGCACCCTTGTTATCCTGAAGCCCACAGTCAAAGCATGTTGAGAGACCCAGGTTTTAGTCCTGCCTGTGCTGCTGGCTTCTGGACCAGCAATCCTTCTTTCACACCTCACAATAGGCTTTGTGAGTTTTAAAGACTGGGAGAAAGAAGAAAATGGAGGTTCTTTGTGTCTTTGGGTTGGCATAACACAAGTCCATAAACTGGGTGGCTTATAAATAACGGAAGTTTATTTCTCATAGTTCTGGAGCCTGGAAAGTCTAAGATTGAGGTGCTAGCAGATTCAGTGTCTAGCGACAGCCCACTTCCTCATAGATGGTGCCTTCTCACTGTGTTCTTACCTGGTGGAAGGTGTGAGGGGTCTCTCTCCAGCCTCTTTTATAAGGGATCTAATCCCTAATCCCATTCATGAGGGCTCCACCTGCATGACCTAATTATCTCCCCAAAATTTGCTTCCAAATACCATCACCATGGGGGTGATCATTTCAACATAAGAAGTTTGGAGGGGGCTGGGCGCAGTGGCTCACACCTGTAATCCCAGCACTTTGGGAGGCCAAGGCGGGTGGATCAACTGAGGTTGGGAGTTCGAGACCAGCCTGACGAACATGGAGTAATCCTGTCTCTACTAAAAATACAAAATTAGCTGGGCATGGTAGCGTATGCCTGCAATCCCAACTACTCGGGAGGCTGAGACAGGAGAGTCGCTTGAACCAGGGAAGTGGAGGTTGCAGTGAGCCTAGATCACGCCATTGCACTCCAGCCTGAGTAACAAAAAGCGAAACTCTTGTCTCAAAAAAAAAAAAAAAAGGTTTGGAGGGACACAAACATTCAGTCTATAGAAGCCCCGCAAAAGTATAAGCCTGTGGCTCAGGTGTGTTTGGAGGTTTGCTTCTTCCTGCCCAGTATCCAAGCTTTAGGAGACTTGCATGCTGCCTGCTTCATGTGTTTGTCACTGCCCCTTGGACCTCTCCTTCCTGGGTGCTGGCTATGCGGGCGTCTCGGGGTCTCTTACCTTCCCCTGACTTCGTGCTGCTCCTTTGGACAGTTCTGGTGGAGGGGTGAGGTGGGAAGAGTGACACTTCCCTTTGCTCTCCTGTCCCTTAATTCCCCAGAGCTTCACACATACAAGGGCACTGTCAATGTGGGCTTTATCAAAGATTAAAAAGAGAGAGGGAGAATCTTAAAAATAGCTATTCTCAGAATTTAAGAGAAAAAAAAACTAAACTTTTGATAGGAACTCGCCTGAGAGATTAGCTCTGTGCTGGTGCCTGGCTTGAGGTCTGTCCTACTCAGAGGAGGATAAGTGCTCCCCTTTCAGTCCTCCACGGGGAAAACTCCCACTCCTGTCTACAGTGGATACCCACTGCCCTCCCTGCTCAGGGACAGCCCATTGTTGTTCACAGGGGGCTGTTCCTGAAGTCTGAGTTAATCACTCTGGATAGCATGGCTGGGAGCACCAGCAGGGAGGACACTCTCCTCCAGGGTCTCTGGGATCCTTTGAGCATTGACTCATGCTTAGCACACAGGGCACACATACCCCTGAGGACAGATGCCTTGTAGACCTACCAAGGAGAGAAATGTTTTTCTAGAAGGCAACATACCTGCAGCTGTATCCTCCATCTGCTACAAGAGAATAGTTGGCTTTATTGTGCCTTGACCTTTCTTCATCTTTCAGCTTCCACGTGGTGCCCAGTGGCTTAACATTACAACAGAAATGGGACTTGGCAGCCAGTACTGTGCCTCTCCATGCCTCTGGGCCATCTGGCCCTGGCCACTCCCACTGACTAGGTCATATCTACAGGTTTCTTTACCTGGGGTTCCATCCTATCCTTGGCTGATGGGATGATGGCCTTGCCGCAGACTGGGAGAAACTGAAGGTGGGGCAATGGCGTGAAATCTCTAGGAAACAGAAGGGGTCAACCTATTTGGCCTATTTTGGCTTTTTCTGTTGGGTCACCCAGTCGTTTTCTAAATGCCAAAGTTCATGCTCTTTTGACCAAAGATAGGGAATTTTTTTTTTTAAATCAGGAGAGTTAAAGAGTTATTTGCACTTCCATATTTTTGAAAAGTGACCTTTTTCTCCAGCAGGTTCAGGCTGCCAAATCGGTGTACCTTCTGTCTATGGACACCAACATCACAGCCACCCAGAGCAATGGGGCAGATCCCTGTGCTGCCTGAGCAGCAGGTTGAGGCTTTGGAGACCCGTTTAGATGTGCCTCTGATCCCTGCACACGTGGCTGAAGGCACGTGGGGGGCAGTGTGGACTTCAGGCCTTTGCAGCAGCATCATGAGAAAACCAGGATTCCTCCGCTGCTTATAGCTGGCGGGTGGGTAAGAGGATTTACTTTCAAAAAGGAGTTAGACCCTGGAGTCGGGGCTGGGGTTTGTTCAAGGGCGGAGACAAAAGGAGGTGATGGAAGGGAGGGAGCTTGAAAATTGCCAAGGGAGGAAGGAAGGGCTCAGTTGAACAGAGAAGCCTTTTTCCTTTATGAGGGGACCAGAGAAT